GAGAATCCTTAGTCATTCCATGGGATAAGGGTTGGCAGAATCCTTAGTCATTCCATGGGATAAGGGTTGGGAGAACCCTTGATGGCTTTCCAAGGAGCTTTATTTGTCTGTCTTTCCTCTGGAAAGGCTCTTCCAGCCTCTTTTTTCCCTCATGGAAGCGCTGGCTGAGGACTTTGGTGCCCCCATCAGCTCTCCATGCTGAGGGTCCAACCCAGCGGGATTTTCCCGGTGTTTTCTGGGCTTCAGGGGTTTTCCTACAATAAAACCATGGAATGGGATGATCCTGCAAGTCCCTTCCAACTCAGCAAGTCCAGCAGCTGGCCCTGCTTTGTCAGAGGTGATGAACTCCAGCTCTGGCCACACCTTGGTTGACCCCAAACCCCTTTTCCTTCTTGTGGCTTCCTGAACTTACCCTGTCCATTCCAGGCTGTTCCCCGGCTCCCACACAATTTAGGAAAGAGTTCTGTCCTCTCTTTTCCTTCCCAAAAGCTTTAAAAACACTCAATTCACTCTCCTGGGTGTCCCCAGGTGCACCCCAAAGCCTGGTTGAAAGAACCCCTCTCTCTCCTGACCTTCCAGGGTTGACCTCGACCTCGATTCTTCCTGTCCCAAGAGGAATTAAGGAAGGAAAATACGTTTTATAACCCAAAAGTGGGTTTTGGTGTGGGGTTTTTTCCCCTCTATTCCCTTATGTAAATTGGGTTTAAATCCATCCCTGCTTAATTTGGGAACTCCTGGTGTGTTTTTTAGCTTTTGGCTGCCAATTGGGGCAGGAAAAGCTTTTGGGATCCTTTGGACAGAAGCTGTTGGAGGGTGGACACGTTCCCTTCTTCACTCTCAGCTTCCCCCATCTATATTTTGATTTAAATATCATATTTTACGCTTGGGATGGTGTTTTCTTTCAGCTGGGGCTTAACCTGGACCAAGCATTTAATTCCAGAGCTGAATTTCTCCAACATCCACTGAATAACATCATTTCTGGGATGCTTTTTCACATCCAGGAGCAGCTGCAGCCTGGGTTGGGTTTTACCTTGGAATGATGTTTATATTGATCCATGCCAGGCAGGGATGATGTTTTGGGAATCCTCCTGAGGTCAGATGTGCTGGCATCCAAGGAGCTCCATAAAAGCTGAGGAAAACAAGGTGTGTGGAGATCCCAAGAAGTCCTGAAGGGAGAGCCTGACTCGAGGTCCTCACGGGGCTTTGCTTTCACATCAAATGCTCCAATACCTGATTTTCCAGCGCATTTTGGTGCTGAATTAAGATTCCAGGCTCTTAAAGTGCCCTTTTTCATCCCAAAACTTGGGAGTTTTGGTGAGATCCTGCCCTTCTCTCCCAGCAGGGCTGCGATCCCTTCGCCCAGACCCAGCGGAGCAAACTCCAACATCGCCGGGCCCGGATCAACCAGCAGATCAACAAGGAGATGAGGATGAGGGCGGGAGCAGAAAACCTCTTCAGGTGAGTCCTGCTCTCCTGAAAATCCCCTGGGAATCTGGTTGGGCGTGGGAATAATACCCTCTTGGATGTGGCCACGGTTGGAATTTCGCTTGGCCTTCCCCTTGGCTTGGAAAGATTCCTCCTGGAAATTCCCGCTCTCCCTTTGGTGCCTTTTAATTAAAAATTGTACTTGGAAAGTCCTGGAAGGCTGTTGGGAAGCAGGATGTGGGCAGATGGAATGGTGGGAAGAAATGTTGAACTGGGATGGAGCTGGGAGTGCAAAAGTCCTGTCTGGTAATCTGGGAAGTGGCTCCCATGGATATGGATATGTTGGATTCAGTTCAGAGGAGGTCATGGAGATGCTCCAAGGGCTGGAGACAGGCTGGGGGCGTTCATCTGGAGAAGGGAAGGATCCAGGGAAACCTTGGAGCTCCTTCCAGGGCCTAAAGGGAATTCTGCCCCTCTGCCACCACCCCCCACCACCTGCAGAGCTTCCTCCAGCCCTGGGGAACAACAGCAGAAGGATTTGGGAATGCTGGAGCAAGTCCAGAGGAGGCCACGGAGATGCTCCAAAGGCTGGAGCTCCTCTGCTCTGGAACCAGGCTGGGAGAGCTGGGAATGTCCAGCCTGGAGAAGAGAAGGATCCAGGGAAACCTTGGAGCCCCTTTCAGGGCCTAAAGGGACTCCAGGAGAGCGGGAGAGGGACTTGGGACAAGGGATGGAGGGACAGGACACAGGGAATGGCTTCAAACTGAAACATGGGAGCTTTAGATGGGATATTGGGAAGAAATTCCTGGCTGGAAGGGTGGGGAGGGTCTGGAATGGAATTCCCAGCGAAGCTGTGGCTGCCCCATCCCTGGAAGTGTCCAAGGGCAGGTTGGAGCAAGCTGGGATTGTGGAAGGTGTCCCTGCCCATGGCAGGGGGGTTAGAATTCCATGATCTTTCTGCTCCCTTCCAACTCAAACCATCCCATAAAATCATTAATGTTGGAAAAGCCCTTTGAGATCCTGGAATTCCCTGGCACAGCCAAGGCCACCACTTTTCCATGTTCCCAAGTGCCACATCCACATCATTCCAATCCCTCCAGGGATGGTCCCTCCCCCACTTCCCTGGGCTGTCTTTCCCAGTGGTTGATTCCCTTTTCCTGATATCCCATCCAAACCTGTTTTTCCTCTCAAAAATCCCCATCCTGGTGCTTCCAGCAGAGCTGAACCTGCAAATCCAGGGATGTCTTTCCCTTCCTCACTGATAATAATCATCATGGAAAGGTGACAGTGTTGCCACCATCCCAGAAATGCAGATTCCATAGAATCCTGGAATGGTTTGTGTTGGAAGGGACCTGAAAAACCATGGAATTCCAACCCTTGCCATGGACAGGGACACCTTCCACTATCCCAGATTGCTCCAAGCCCCATCCAACCTGACCTTGGACACTTCCAGGGCTGGGGCAGCCACAGCTTCTCTGAGAATTCTGTTCTGCTCCAGCTGATCCTGAAGGTCCCTTCCAACCCAAACCACTCCCTGATTCTCTGGAATCTCATGGAATGGTGCCAACACTGTCCCCTTTCCAGGCTGTTGAATTCCAGCTGCTCCACCACGATCCAGTTCCTGGATGTCTTTCCCTTTGGAGTGTTTTTGGTCCAATCACACCATTTTTTGCGGCTATTTTATATATATTTTTTTAACCCCCAAATGACCTTTTGCAGCATCTCTTGTCCCTATTTCATTTTTCTGGAATACATTGGATCACATATCCAGCCTGGGCAGGTCTGTCATATAAGAAATAATACCAAAAAATACCATAAAACTGCCCCTAAATACATTTTTTAGCTATATTTTCTCATTTTTTTAATTTTTTTTTTTTAAGAATGACTTTCCACTTCTGACCTTGAATGATTTAAGGGAATAATAGTTGATCCACCAAAAAAAATGGTGTTTTCCAGGTGGGTAAGGCCAGCAAAAGCTTCCAGGGGGGATGTGAGTTCCATCCCCCTTCTCCCACTGCTTTATCCCTGTTTTATTTAATTAAGGGGGAAAAAAAAAAAGCCATTAAATTCCAATTTGTGCAATTCCTTAATTAGATTTTTTTCAAAAAAAAACAAGGGGAAATGTGCTGGCTCAGCAAAAAAAACAAGCCTGGTTTTGGTGCAAACAGCAGGAATTGGAGCTGTGGGAAGGGGAGGGAGGAAAAAAAATCGGAATACAACCCAAATCCTAATTATCCAGGCAGGGAAATGCTCTGAGGAGGCTCTTTTTTTTTTGTTGGTATTTTTACTGGCTCAGCAGTTTGATGTCCTTTGGAGAGGCCACATTCCCTCCCTCCCACAAAATCCACTTGGAAACTTGAGTAATAATGTGGTTTTCTGGGAATTCCGGTGCTCCAAGTTTAGGAAACCCAGGAAGTGTTTGAGTGGGGGGGATA